CCGTTACAGTTCAATGCTGGTATGTATATGTCGATTTCTTGTGGATCAAATATTAACATTACAAGAAAGATGGTTGTCCAAAATAAGTCGTTAACGGAGAGAAAAAGCTAGGAGACGATATTCACACCAAATAATTTTAAAATTCATATAATTAATTTAATCGTGCCACTTCAGTCCTCCATGGAGAAATAAACATATCTTTAAACTGGTCAACTTGTGCTTGCAGAAGAAGTCACCTCAGTTTTTACATAATTATTTTGTATACCATAGAGAGATAAACGCAAGGATAAGGGGCGGACCATTAGAAAAGTGATGGAGGGGGGGGGGGAATGGAGGGGGGGGGGACTTTTTCAACTTGTACGAATATTTTTTTTTAATAGTTTTTGCTTGTGTCGATAATTTTTTAAAATATAATCCCTTGCACGAATTTTTTTTTATTTCAACTTATAATTTTCCCTTTTATTTCAACTTATAACTTTTTTGGTGCACGATTTTTTTTTTCTTTCTGTTCCCCTGCTCGATTTTTATTTTTGCTTCCCCTCCATCACTTTTCTAATGGTCTGCCCCTAACCAGACAAAGTAATCTAGCTGTTACATTTAGCCAAAGTTAGAACAAAATCTGCAAAAAAATCATTTTTTATAATGGCTAAATAGTTTTTAATAATTGTAAGCGTAACTGTGATGTTACAGTGTAATTTTTAGTCACTTAGGGCTATATAGCGTAGAAATTTTTATTGTAATTTTTAAACTTTATACTGCTATAGAACGAACTATTGTACTTGTAATTTTTTTCAGGGCTCCTGTTAATAACAGTGCTCAATGTATCACTGAAAGAATTGCCCAGAGAAAATAAAGATCTTCATTGAGTTCATTCATTCATAATATATTGAAGCTTGCCATCCTCTCACATAGAGTTCAATATCAGCACATCCATATTGTATATCCATCCTTATATTTCACAGGTATAAAATCTCAGACGTATCAAGAACAACATTTACCATGCCCATGTTAGTGGAGATACAATGGAAAAGAAACAGGCCATGTATGCCTGTTTCTTTGCGGAAGTACGGCATTGTGGGTAACGAAATTAGAACGAGTGGAGATTAAAATCCTATACTTACTATTTTTTAGCTCGATAACGATTACAGTGGATCTGATAATACATTGCACCGTGGAATTAACAAGGTCAACTTTAATTGGGATGTATTGAGTGGTAAGCTTTTACTATACCTTGTATATAATGTATGGCAGAGATTGAGGACGTCTGCATTCTGCAAATATAGCGGGATTTAGCCCTGGATAGTTTAGTTTCAATTCATAGTTACCTTTCTTCTTTGATCGCCTTTAGGCTTTGTGTTCAGGCACGTAGTATTTCATAGTATTCATGGTCTTTGTGCACGCTGTGATCGACATAACGGATCGTGCCACTTGAGTCTTCCATGGCGAAAGGAACCGTTGCGTTCTATATAGCACGGATTCTGTCTGGTTTAGTCTAGAGCGTTATGTAATCATACTCCAACAAATGGTAGCTATATACGAGTTACTTGCTTTTGCCTTTGGCAATGCCATGGATTCATACTTTAAATTTTTGATAAATTATAATGCAATATGATCAGTTAAATTCAGCGATATGCGAGTGACAAAATGATTGTCTGACGGCTTATTATAGATGAAATATCAGTGAGCATGTGTGGAAATTTGGACTGATTTTAATTTGATCAGTTTTTCGCTTCATTCGCAAACCAATCGGGTTAATTAATGGCAATGCGGTGTATCAATCAATTCAATTCAAAGCTAAACTAAAGCCTTTGCAGAGCCAAAGCACAGCTAAGGGTAGACTCAGGAAAAAATTGTGCTTTGCCGAAAGGAAATCCGTTTGATACTATTTTTGCATATGATACATCAGACAAAAAGGTTTTTTGTTTCTAGAACGGAATATGTTCTGCCTGAACGATCACAAGATGAAAATAATTATTGTTTATCCCAATTCTCTCAAATTTGGTCGCGGAAACAGCGAAGGCAATAAGATCCAGCAGATCATCAAGAATTCTCAATTTGCCTCAATAATCTACCATTTTGTTTGATACAAGAATTAGTATAGTCAACTGAATAAAACAAAACCCGGAAAATTAAAAATTTTGAAATCATGCCAACTCAAGTGAAGCCGTAATCTATTATGTCTATTATGTCTTATACAAGTACGTGCACTTATCTTGGCGCATTTTGAGTTTTCAAGAAGTTTTTATTCTTGGGTTTTTGTCAGCGGTCGTAAACAGGCCCGTACGTATAGGGTTGTTAATTTTACCAGTAGAACCAAATTATGTTTTTTGATGGATAGAAAGATATTGTGATACCAGACCAACAATCATCATTGAAGTCAATCTTTGAAATAAGATCCCTGGAAATGCCCCTTCCTCCATTCCGAGCGTAAATTTACCAGCGAAATTTATTTTATTGTACCCATGTTTTATATAAAAATAAGGGAAAACACACAATAATTAAAAATGATTACTAATATCAACCTCATCACATGATAGTCACTAGGTCCCAGTTCTAATTGAAATAGCATGTTACAACATCATGATATAGCGACAAACTTCTCTTAATATAACGTTCACTAGTATACTGTGTTTAATGGCGTGCTCTGAAAAGACGAAGGAAGAAGATGTGACTTTTTGCTAAAATCTCGTATTCTTTACCTAAAATTAAAACTAATTATGGTCAGTTTAATATTAGGTATGTCATCGGCCCAAAAACTGAACGATACTACACAAGTACTCAATACTAATGACCCGTGCTATTGCCCGAAAATAAACTGCGCATGATCAATAATACAAATTTGGTCCCAAATTTTATATTATATATAATACAGGTCAACTATATATGTTTACATTATAATAAGCTTACAAAGACAAGTTGTGACAGGAGAAAGGAACAGGACTTTCGTCCCAATTGACACCTAACCCCGGGACCGACAAACACACCCTCTTATAGAGACGCGAGCACGCGTCAAATTATAAAAGCAATATCTGTTTCAAAATTTAAGAAAACTATTGTTACCTAGAATGGCAGTGGCACAGACCGTTAGAGAGCACTGCGAGATGAGAATAATGTTACCATGGATAAAGGGAATAACATGCGCTTCGAGAACATCTTAGATTGCCTAGGATTTTTGCAGGAATCTCTGCTGGAGTTTCACAGGTGCCAACCTGGGAACCAAAGCCTGCTTGTCCTATAGCTGGTAAATGACACGACACCATTACTAATTAAATGAAATGCTGACGGCGCGCGAATATAGATCTATTCGGACTATTGCATTGGACATTTAATTAAAAGAAATGACATGAGTGAATGATAGTTAGCTATCAGAACATTGACGGAAGCTGTAAGAGCTAGGCTGCAGTGGCGGCGGCGGAGCAGTCTTTATTTTGCGGTGGGGAGGGGGATATCGATCTAATTTCCATAAATTGTCCAACATTTAACATTTTTTGGGGACATTTTCCGGATCTAACATATTTCCGACTTGATACACGTCAACATATGTCCGTTTTCTTTCATCTCTCCTGAATTTGT